GGAGTCCAGAGCACATCTCCTATTCCAAACCACAGTGTACCTGGAACTCCAGGTACCTGGAAGTTGATGTTTCCAAGATCATCTGGATGCGAGTTTTAGATCATGTGAGCCACAGAATACATTCCCTCTGTGCTAACTGACTTGATTTCTAATCACAATTCATAAACGTGAAAAGTGAGTTTAAATTGAGATTTTTTTTCGGTCGTTATTCCTAATAGAACTTGCCCACGTCCTCCATCACGAAGGGAGTCTCTGTGGGATCATACCAAAGATACCTGACTGACAGTGACTTTTTCTTTTCTCCCTTCTCCCTTTCTCCTTTTTCTCTTTCTCCCCTTCTTTTGGGAGTGCAGGGGATTGATTCCAAAGCTTTGTGCCCCTGGGACCGAGCCATCCCCCTGGTGCCTGGTTTCCTTTGAATATAAAGAGAATGAACCCTTTCATCTCAGGCCAGCAGGGAGATGCCAGTCATAGCCTCACCAAGGCAGGGGCTCTATCTAGAAACAGGTTAACAGGTTGAAGGCAGGGTGAAGTTTCCCTGGGGATCAACTCATTTCCTTATTATCTAATCCAATGATCTAGCTGCTTGGAGGCGGCCTACTTGCACATAGATTCTTTCATCCCATAGAGGGGTGGACATTTAAAAATCCATATCCTGTCTTGTAATCCTCAGGACATCTGAGTTAACGCAATCTCCTGTTACTGCCAGCTAGCGCGAGGCCAGGTAAAGCAATATCTCCCCTCGCCAGTTTGCAATTTAATTTTGAGAAAATTGTCAATATATATTCTCAGAAAGAGCTCAGCAGAGATCTGTTAAGTTAGTTATTTCATTTTCTTTTGAGTTTGCCATGCTATACAAATACCCTGAGAAAATCCATCCTTCTTGTGGGAAGAGTGGGGTGACAGATGAACCCCTGAGCCCTTAGGGACTTTGCTTTGTGTTACAAAGTTTGAGAAAATAAAATCTGTGAGCAGAAATCAGAGCTCTGAGAACCCCATTGGGACGTGCTGTTTGTTGAGTGCATCATTTCCCTTTTAAAATATCTTCCAAGTTCTGAGTAGAGCACACTGGTCACCCAAGAGGAGGACCAGTGAGATACTAGATCCAAAGCACTCAATATTAGCCCGCCATATGGGAAGCTGAGTCTGGTGTGGTGAAGCTGAACCTATATCAGGTTCCCTGAGTCTATAGACTGCTAGCTACTTAAAAGGTCCTAGTGTATCTGTCATTTGTCCTAGTAGACGATAAAACCCAAACTGAGAATAATGCAAAGCACATACTTACTCCAGTTGGGTTGATCTGGTTACTCCAGTTGGTGTTTAATCTGGATTTACCTGCTTGTTCCTGAAGCAAGGGGAGGCCCCAGTATTTGCCTTCTCTGTGCGGACCAGACACCAAGGAAGTAGCTCTCCACGGCTCTTCTTCCTCGGCTTCTGCAGATTAAATGTGCTTTGCTTCTGCTTGCATTATGTTTCCCAGAGGGCACCTCAGTTTGATTCAGTCGACCATTTAGATTTTCATTTATAGATCTGAGCTATTACGAAGAGGTCCTAATAACACTTATGTCATTGTAACATATAGTTTGCCATTGCTTTCTTAACAACAAAAAGCCTTTTAAAAAATGAGAGTATGAGCTTAGATCCTTAATAGCAACCCATGGGATGTTCTGGGCATTTCCTTACTGCACTGATATTTTAAATCTTGCATTTATTTAAAAATCATTCTCATTTATTTGAGTGACATTCTTTTAAAAATTGGATGTTATGGTAACAATAAAACCATTTCACGTACGGTTTACATTTATTAGTTAAGTTTATTGTACATATTTTGTAGCCATGGAGCCAGAGGGACACAGAGGTAACATGATTTCCCTCAGGATCACAGAGGCAGGAAGTAGCCTCAGCTCAGAAACTCCATCGTTGATTCCTAGTCCATGTGTACCCACTATTTGACTGCTTGCAGCTAATATCACATGCCACACGGTGCCACTGTTCCAAGGCCAGTTGTTACGGGGATGGAAACATGCCAACAACATAGGTGCCCAGTGCTACCCTAGAGAACTCTGTGCTTTTAAAGGCCAAAAAATTGCAATTTTTGGTTCAGCCATTTGGCAAATATTATTATAAATATATAATCATAACTTTTGTTCATTACCTACACCTAGTTCTTTCTAATCCCATAATATCAAACATTTATTATTCTCTTTTCTACATCTTATACCCATATACATTTACTTGTTTATATATATTCTATATATATGTATATATATATGACAAGATATAATAAAATATAAGGTTATACATTTTTTAACCTGAGAGTATGTGACCTTGCTTAATATTATACATTCTTTGGTTGTCAATTTTTCTGCAAATTTTGCAATTACATTTTTAAAAATATGAATAATATTTCATTATATATACACCAAATTTTCATTATCTATTTATCTGATGATGGACAACTAAGATGATTCTAATCCTCTGATATTCTCAATAAAGCTAATTGAGTTTCTGGTTCTAATTGTCATGGCCTTTTCAATTTTGGTAGTGGATAAATATATAAAATATACTTGATATCAAAAGTATGAAAGGTCATGTGGAGTGCCACAGTTTCCACTCTGAATGGCTGCCATAACTGCATAGACATTTATTAAATTGTAAAGTCTATGGGTCTGACTAATTTCAGTGTCTGGGTATTTTATTTGCAATGGTTTTTAAAATAACAATTAAAACAATAAATATATAAGTATTTAGAAACATGTGGGTGCCTTCATGTGTGTTTGTGTAGGTGTTCAATGTTATGGGTTTGGGAAAATAAATACTTTCATGTTCCACTTTGGGTGAAAATGTAAAATTTCATAAATTTCTTAGGACAGTTGGACAATGAATAGCACCCTAGATGGTGACACTCTCTAGCTCTTAAATTTTCTTGCAAAGAATTTTTTTTCTTAAAGGCAATTGAATTAACTATGGAAGGCATGAAGAGTTTTGCACTGCACAGCTCCTGGAGAAGCAAAAGGAGAGGTGTAGGTGGGAAGAGAGGATCCACATAGAGGCCCTTTAAGGACAATGACATCCATGTGACCAAAGTAGAGACCTGGAGTGCAGAACTTGTTTGGAATTACCTCTGCAGCATCCAGTTATGACGTGGGACTCCCCTCTGTATGCTATGAATATGTTTTATTACCACTGGTTATTAAAGAAGCTGTTTCAGTCAATGGCTTAGTAGAGTAAAGCCAGGTAGGAAATCTGAACAGAGATATGAAGAGAAAGTAGGCGGCGTCAGGGAGACACTGTGTTGCTGCTGAAGGAGAAAGACATTAGCCACCAGCCAGAACCCTACTGGTAGGTCACACCCTTGTGGCAATACACAGATTAAGAGAAAAGGGTTAATTTAAGATGGAAGAGTTAGCTAGGAATATGCATAAGCTATTGGCCAAACCGTGTTGCAATGAATATGGCTTCTGTGTGTGATTATTCGGGTCTGAGCAGCAGGGAAATGGAGGAGTGTTCTCCATCTACACTGTTAGCTGGGAACCAGGAGAGATCCATCACTAGCAGAAGGATAGCACTATGTACCCACAATTCACAAGATGAAATGGAAATGCAGGGTACATTAGACAGCCTGGGGTGTCCTGGGTAACACTTGGTCACAGCATCATTTTTGCTGCCTTTGTACCCACCGGAAAGTAAGAGCAAGTCATGCGGCATCAATTCCTGTCAGTCATAGTGGGAATGGGCGACAACAATCCAAAATAGATGCTCATCCTCTACCACGTTGACAGTAGAGAGAATGAAAGTTTCAAGCCCCCAGGTAGCCGAGGCTGGACCACCAATAGGCCCACGCATGCACAGTGTGTTCCACCATGGTGGTTTAAAAAATGTACATTACCTCCTAGGGAAGCAATCTGCAAAGTGAGAATGCTACAGCACCCCTTTGCTGTCCTATCCATGCTCCCATGATGTCAGGAGCCGCTTTCCCCAAGATACAAAAGAGACACATAGTGGTACACACACAGGTGGAGAAAGGGGAGGGAAGTCCCTTCACATCATGTCATGAGTGACAGATGTTTCCAGGCCAGTGGTTTCTAGAGTGACTACCTGAAGCCATCTGAGTGGAGGGTGACATTTTCTTCCCTCTCAGCTCAAGATCTACAAAGATGAACATTCCCAGAGCACATGTTTTCTATCGATGAGAACAGATCTGATGGGAACTGACAAGAACCTACAGCTCTAAGCACCTAAAGTGGACTTCGTGATGGGTTAGAACGACTGAAGCTTCAGGCACAAGCAGGGGCCTTTGGCAGGGTTCCTGCAGACTGTCCTGAGCCTCGTGGGACTCTGGCCCACTTATTCTGCAGTCTTGGCCTCTTTGACTGGGTAATTTTATAGAGCATGATGGTTTCAAGCAAACATATGGCATTATCCCAGAAAACGACCATTCCAAATACACCTGTTTATACTGGGGAGGGAAGAGAGGGGACCCACAGGGATATCTGAGCTGAGGAGCGCATGCTTCCTGATTTCTGCTTTTACTCAGTTGCTTTCATTTTATTTTTCGCCAGGAACATACATTTAAAAGATTAGTGAAAACAGTTCATACTGATAAAATACCATCTTTTGTTAGTCCTCAGAGAAAAGCAGAGCGGCTCCCCCTAGCATCTCCAGGGAGGGCACTTACCAAGGTAAACCAAACAATGTCTCCCCACACAACTGCATGTTGAGAAGAGAAGCGAAATGGCATACTCACACATACAACACGGATCTGGTGTCCCCCACCTTCCCAGCGTCTCCAACTGTCAGGGTGTCGTACCCTCTTTCCAGCTCAAACTCCTCAAAAGCGAGCTTGATGACCTACATCCAAAGGGAAGACACAGTTAATAGCACGGTACAGACCTTCCGTGGCCACGGACCTTTACAGTTTCACCGTTAGCTTTGACTTCTTAAGTCGGATGGATACCAAACAATTCCCAAGCTGCCTCCAGTGGCTGCAGGAATTCTCCAGGTTTGGTTGGCCTGAGCCTGAGAATTCTGTGGGATTGGAATGTTCTTTTTGGTTCAGCTTACTGTGAGTTCTAAAATGAGATTAACCTGACCTCACTTAATTTGTGTGTCTATCAATGACAAAGCATAACTCAGGTGATTAAATTAACCAAGAGTAAGCCAATGCAAACAGGAAGAATGCCATTGTCGCTAATGAGGCCTGATTTTAAGGGTACCTTACAATGAATCTTTTCAAATTTACTTGTGTAGTTCTCCCGATACTATTCTTAATAACACAAGAGCTTTCTGAGGCTAAGTTATTATCTAATACTACACTTAGCAGTGCAAAAACCTTGAAGTTTCTTCTCTTCATTTCCCTTTTCTATTTCTGAGAGTGGCACTGAAGGGTTTACCCACACTAGTTAAGTTCTCAGTCAATGAACTGCACCATCAGATCTCGATTAGATAATTGGATGGATGGATGGATGGATGGATGGATGGTGTATAGGTAGAAGCAGGAAGGATAGATAGACAGATAGATGGGGAGGAAGATGGTTAACAAAATGATAACAAGAAGATATATTTCCTTATGTTAAAAACATCATTCAAAAAGAAACATAACCCTGAGCTAATTTCAGCTTTGGTGTATATGTAATAATAATAATAATGGCACACATATATAATATATATCACAATTAAAGAATATTATACATAGTATATATGAGGCATATTTGGATGTGATGACTAACATCTTATTAAATATTAGACGGGTTACTTTTTGACCGACCAACAGACTATAGATATATGAACTCCCTTCTTCATAGACCACAGGAAATTTTCTCCTTAAATAAACAAGCAAACAAATATTCCCTCTGTTGATCAAGATTGTGATCAAGAGGCAAGACGATCAAAGCTGTCAGGAACTTAGGCTAAGTCTTGGAGAACCAGGCATACAAAAAAGATATTAACAGATTATTATAGATAATAGATAAATATAAATATGGATATATAGATGCAATGCACAAATAACAGAGGGTCAATAAATGAGTTACTGGTGATGAAAAGTAACGGAAAGTATATGATATATTAGTTAGATAGATAACTGGATGGGTGGAAGATAGATCAGTGAATGGACAGAGAGTTAAATGGATGCATAGAAGGATGGCTAGATGATAATAAGTAGATTGATAGAAGGATGGGTGGATGTGGACAGATGGTGGGTGATAAATAGGTAGATTAAAGGGTAGATGTGTGGATGACTGGAAAGTGGATAGACAGAGAGATGGATGAGCGGACAATACATAAACATACGGAATGATCAGTGGAAGACAGATGATAAACGGATCAATGGATGCTACATAAGTGATACATTGAAGTCTGGGTGTATGGGCAGAAGATGGGAGGCAGATATCTGAGTGGACAGATGATAATATAGAAAGATGCATGAGTGAGTGACAGAGTGGCCCATGGGGGCAGGTGAGGAAGGGGGCAGATGGGAGAGGGAAAACTGGAATTGTACCTTATGACTGAGTGTGAATGCCTGGTAAGAGGAAATTAAATGCTTCCCTGTTAGACTATTTTTATAAAAAGTAAGTGAGGCTGGAGTGAGGTCAGCGTTTCTAAGACTCATCGTGACATGCATAAGCTAAATACGCTTTAGACGGCTGCTTGTCCCTAGCAAGGCTAATAAGGGATGCACTGTTAATATTATTACAAATTCTTACTAAAATTAGTGACATGGCTATGGCAATTTATTAAAAAACTACTAATTCAAATTGTGGGGTTTGTATGAATGCATTGTTTGTACTGAAACAGGTGTAGTGTTGACAGCTGTCACAACGTTCTTTGAATTTTTCCATATTAAAATGAGAGCTGAGGGGGCTTCTTGCTTCTATTTTCCTCTCTCCTGATTATAGGAGAAAAGGGTCACAGAGTAATGCGGTAAAGAAACCAGGGTGTCACATTCTAGGTTTGTGTTTCCCAAGAGTTTCCTGTATGTCCTATGTAGACCCTGAGGGAAATCTTTTCAAGGCTTGCTAAAGTCACTTTAAGTCACTGAGCACATCCCATAGTGTGCTCCCCAGAGAGGCTGAGGATGAACCCAGCTGAGTCCTGAGATTCAAGCACCTGCAGAAGATGGAAAAGTTCCCAAGTCCTAGCTGCATGGAGAAGCTGAGATCTTGGCACTAAAGACAGCTTTGCAATTCCCCTCTTCCCTGGAGAGGGCACATCGGCTTCTGACTGACTGGTTCAGTGGGAATCTTGTTTTTCTCAGTTTCCTTATTTTCTCTGAAAAATACTTTCTATTCCCTATCAGTGTTCCAAGAAATCCTTCCACAAGGTAGTTTTCAAACTGGAGAAAGTACTTCATTATCACATAAAATGCCTGTCATGCGCCCCATGTTAGGGCCCCTGGGCTAATTCTTCTGTCTGTGTTGTAGTTCACTAAAAACTTATTATTATTATTTTGTCATATTGTATTATAGAGAGACCATCCTAATGTCTTCATATGAATGACAGCTATGTCTCCTCTTCTTTTTGAATCTATAATGAACATGAATCTGCCACAACTAGGATTGGGAGAGAACCTGCACAAGCTGCCAAGTGAATAATCTAGAAAACATGGCTATTTGTGTAAATAAACAATGCCATACTCAATAATGTAATATAGAAATCATCTTGCAACTCTATGGAGACACATGCATCTGTGGCTCCCTCGTACAATGCGTGTGAAAGCTTCCTTGTCTTTTATGTAATTGCTCCTTGTAAACTGGAAGACAGGTGCAGTGGTAGCAAATACACAGCAAATCAGAACTTCAGCTCATTCTGTTTGGAGACCTGAGGTTATCTCAGTAAGTTGTCAAATCAGAAAATCTACTGCGGGTATAGCTATGACATGGGCCGGTCACTAGCAAAATGATGGTAAAGAGTAGAAATAAGGCTAGTAGTTCATCAAAATTCTTGATGCCCCTCAAAATGCTAGTGGGGCTAAATCACAGGCAGCCTGTCTTGAGCGGTAGAGCAGGTTTCTGTCTCTTCCTGGTCCCCACTCAGCATCAGTCATTAGATGGGATGCAGCTGACACTTAGGCAATGCTGTACAGGTGAGGATTTGTGAACAAGCATATTAGTTTTCCATATGTTTACTGTTTGCCTGTATAAGTGCAGTTTTAGGAACTACTACCTCAGTCAGAAGAAAGAGGAAAACTTTACAGTTTTTAAAAACGCAACAGAGAAAAATGAAAATCAAAATAAGTCAAAAGAATGTTCCAAGCAAGGCAAAACAAAACAAAACGGCCACAAGAGTACCATTGAGTTTCATCAAAATATATTGCCTAAGTATTTTTCAATTAAAAAAATCTTTGTTCTAAACCAAAGCAAACCAACCAAACAAAAAACCCAACAACTGACAAATAGGCAACTCTATTCCGCCAGGGCACGTGGAAGCCTTACATAGCAGGCAGCTAGTACTGGTGTTGGCCTTCTAATTTGTTTATCACAAAAAGGTAAGTTCCTTATTATCTCAAAATACATTTCACTGTATTTCACTGAATCCAAATTCAGGCCAAATACCATTAAAGTGGTCAGAGGACATTGTCCTAGAGATTTGGGAGTGAAGGGGACAGAGAGGGTTAGTGCGGGTAAGAAGAGATGAGAGGGAGGCGGGGAAAGGGAGGATAAGGAATGGCAGAAGAGAAAATGCGAGTGAAGAGGGAAAGTGGGAATCTCTTGAGAGACTTTTAAAAGTGTTGATGAGTATAGATATCTATGAGCGGCCAATAGAAAAGCCCACTTGTGCTTAACGTCGGGGATGGCACGTGCTCTTTCTCAGGTTTGCTGTGATCTTCTTAGAGGAGGAAAGATCTTAACTGTTTCCCAGGTCCTAAGTACTAAGGGGAAATACATATGAAATCTTAGCTGGGAAAAATAACTTGGAAAGTGTGTCTCTGATTAAAAAAAAACAAAGAAACTATGATAAAAATTGCCACCTAAACTCAGCCTTTGAAATCTGACAGCAAGGAAAGCATCATATGCCGCGCTATGATTCCATTTTAATTTCACTGCTTATTTTCAAGTCCTGTTTAAAAGTACACTTCTTTTTCTTTTTTAAATAACTGATTGCTTTTATTTTATGTGTATGAATGCTTTGTGCGTGTCTGTGCGTGTATGTGCATGTGTGTTTGTGTGTGTGTGTTTGTGTGCCACATATGTACCTAGTGCCTGTGGACATAAGAAGAGGGCATTGGATTCCTGGAACAAGAGTTACAGGTGGCTGGGAGTCTGTGTGTGTATGTGTGTGTGTGTGTGTGTGTGTGTGTGTGTGTATGTGTGTGTGTGTGTGCGCGCGCGCGTGTGTGCTGAAAACTGAACCCAGATGCTGTGTGAGATCAGCAAATGTTCCTCACTGCTGAGACCTCTCTCTAGCCTCCAAGTACTTTTATTTTTCTATGTAATATGATTGGGTGGGAAATAATGCTGAAGGGGGGAAGCTAAGCAGGGAAAAAAATATAATTGTTTTAAAATTTCAAAGATTCTCCTGAAAAAAAATTAGTAAAACCCCCTACATCTTCAACAACAACAACAAAAATCCTGAATGCCTAATTAAGAACTGTGGGTTCCTCCTTCATCCCAAGGATTGGGTTGAGGGTTTAAGATATACAAGCAAGGGGCTCTGGGAACCCAAACCTTCCTGCCATCCGATTCACTCAGCTCTGAGTTGTATTGGAAGGAAGTTGTGTGAATTTCCTCATGAAAGCTAAACAAACAGCAGCTGGGGATTATTAGCACTGCTGCCAAAAGCAAAAGTTTGTGATTTCTTGGGAAGTGGTAGTTATCAAATGGTCTTAATGTTCTTCATGGATTGACTTGAGA